GTCCTGGGTCTTCCTGAGGAAGACCCAGGACACGCTGGAGGGACTATGTCTCTTGGCTGGCCTGGGAACGCCTTGGAGTTCCCCCGGAGGAGCTGGAAGAAGTGGCTGGGGAAAGGGAGATCTGGGCCTCCCTTCTGAAGCTGCTGCCCCCGCGACCCGACCCCGGATAGGCGGAAGAAAATGGATGGATGGATGTGTTCAACCTAAAACCTTATTGGCTTCCAGAAGCAAAACAAAAATTAAAGTAACATTAACTGTCTTATTAATAGTAAATGTAACAACTAGCTATAAAAACAGAAATTGTAACTGTCAGGTGTTTGGTGCTTATTTATTTATTTATTTTTGTTTTTTGTGTTGCATTTGTTGTCCATCAATCTGGAAAGGGTGATTTTTATTTATTTATTTATTTAACCTTTATTTAACCAGGTAGACCTCATTGAGATTAAAAATCTCTTTTTCAAGAGAGACCTGGATTAAAGCCATTTTCAAACAATCTGGACTGCGATGGAAACATTTTTTACGAGAAAACATTCAAGGCAAATCAGCTCCACGGCTGCAATTTAGCTGAGCTTTATTCAGGTATCTGCGTAGCAAATGTCAAAATGCAGTAAAGAAGATGGAAGCTCGTCGATAGAAATTTAATTAAGGTCGCCGGTATTTTTACAGCAGATTTTCTGTTTCAGCATTCTTTTTTTACTGCACTACTGCAGGCCGTGCTGACGCGTACTAATCCAGCTCACACACTGTTAACTGTACCTCATCGGGTGCAGGTCAAACATGGGTGGCTGTAGTTCTGCTAGCTCTATTGCAGTAATGCCCACTGCCCAGATATCACACAGCTGATTGTAGCCTCCTTTCCTCTCAACTGCTGCCACCTCCGGAGCCATCCTAGATAATAGGAGAGAGAAACAGTAGATGAGGAGAGAATAGAGAAGACAGAAGGAGCAAGTTCTTTTTTTTATTGCAATCAAGAAGAAGATTAATTTTTACTCTATGGTTTCTGTTAAGTTACTAACAATATAAAATGAATGAAACATACTGACAACAAATGAAACACTCCAACAGAATAACTCACTAAATATCAATTAATTCAATTCCACCATATAACCTAATTATGTACAGAAGTCCAGCATGGAGTAGGATGTTATAGATTACACGGTCACTATAACTGCATGTCATGTGAGAGGAGGTGAAACTCACCAGTAAGGTGTTCCAATGAATGACTTCCTTTTGGCAAGAGTTGCTGTGATCTGGGCTGATACACCAAAGTCAGCTATAAAGATAAGAAGGAAAGCACAAGTAATTAAATTAAACAAAACCAAAGTCAGCGAACGAGGCCCATCAGATATGGCACTTTACAGAAGAACATGACCTGAGTGAATGTTTTCCTCTCACCTAATTTAATATAGCCGTTGTCTGTCAGAAGGATATTGGCTCCCTGTAAAAGAGACAACATACCATGCTAGTACAAAACACAACAAATTGGATCATTTTAAATCAATTAACAAGCCTAATTAAAGAAACACAAGAGCTTAATCTTGTTGTAAACATTTTTACATGAAGAAACATGGCAACAAGCTCTGATTTGACATAATTTATTCAGTAAAAGTAAATCAATATTTAATCATAAAATCAGTGCCAATAATAGAGATTAATTTAGCTTGCAAATATATATAT